GAGGAATTATTTCCTCATTCTCTACTAAGCTACTAGGTGCGCCTTCAAGTAGATCCTCCATCTCGTAGAATTCTACTTCTCTGGTTACCTCACCTCTGCTAGGGAAATCCTCCTCTAGGAAATCCACATCCCGTGACTCAATTTCAGTTACACTTCCATGCGGATGCTCCCCAACAAACACATAGCCCTTAGAATGCTCACTATAGCGAATGAAGATACACTTCTTTCCTCTATGGCCCAACTTCCCAAACTTATGAGAAGCGTTGTGTATGTATGCTGCCGAACCCCAAGGCCGCAAATTGCCCAAATCAAGCTTTTTGCCAATCCACATCTCATATGGGGTGGAAGGAACTGATTTGAAGGGCACATGGTTAAGGACGTAGGCAGCAGTCAACAAAGCATCTCCCAATAAGAAATGGGAAGATTAGCTTGCGCCATCATTGATCTAACCATGTCAAGCAATGTGCGATTCCTTCTCTCCGCTACACCATTTTACTGCGGAGTCCTAGGAATTGTCAATTGCCTGATAACTCCTTTTTCCTCACAGAGCACTTTAAATTGCTCAGATAGATACTCACGTCCTCGGTCAGTCCTTAGAGCTTTAATGCTCTTGTCTAATTGATTCTCAACCTCATTAACATACCGTCTAAAGCAATCCAATGCTTCTGACTTGTGAGAAATCAGATAGACATGACCAAAATGTGTGCAATCATCTATAAATGTGATGAAATAAGGGGCTCCATGCCTTGCCCTCACATTCATTGGTCCACATATATCAGAATGAATAAGTTGTAATGGGATAGATGCCCTTATGGCTTTCCCAAACGGTTTCCTTGTTGCCTTACCAGCAAGACAATGCTCACAAGTAGGCAAAGTGACTCTAGCGAATGGGCCTAAAAGACCTTCGCTAGCCAATCTAGTCATCCTGTCTTGCCCTATGTGGCCTAATCTAGCATGCCATCTCATAGAATCATTATCACAAAAAGATGCAATATTTGAAACAGAGCCATTGGCATTTTTATTATAACTAGAATCATCCACATCCAAAACTAAAAAACCATCTGAAAGATAACCAAAACCATAAAAAATTGTTCCCAAATAAATGCTAACACCATTATTCTCAAAACAAAAGCTAAAACCAAGGCTCATCATGCTAATAACTGAAACTAAGTTTCGCCGAATATCCGGAGCATAAAGAACATCATGAAGATACAAGGTGCATCTTCGTCGCATTTCCAGCTTGTATGTGCTAATGCCAAGCACCTCCACACTGGTCTCGTTCCCCATGTAAACTTTTCTGCTCCCAGCAGGTACTCGGCGATACTCAGTGAACCCTACTCTGTCCCTCGCGATGTGGTCTGTTCCTCCAGAGTCTACAATCCAAAAATGAGGAGAATGAGCAATTAATGCTTGACTAGACACAAAGCATTGAATGCGAGAAATTAAGTAAGGGAGTACCTTCTTCTGCTCAGGGCAATCCCGAGTGAAGTGTCCTTCTTTGTTACAGCATGTCAATTTAGCCTTTACCTTCTTGCCACCTCTCTTGCCCCTACGCTTAAAATTTCTAGCGCCATTGGGCTTTAACGCAGCTGCTGCTTGCTTCTTAGGGGCACCTTTTGCTTTTCAACGTTTGAACTGAGAAGTCCTACATGAGCTCGACTCAACCACCATAGCAGAACCATCAGAGTTAGCCACCTCAAGGCGCTCAGCCTCTAGCTTCAAACGACGCGATATGTCTTCGAATGTTTTCACACTCTCATTATGCATCCATGTTCTGCTTCATCTGCTCCCAAGAATTTGGCAGAGAGCGAATCACAGCTTGTACTTGATGCTCTTGAGTCAAATTGTGCCCAGCAGCCGTAACCTCACGTATCATGGCTGACATGACTCTCAAATGCTGTTTCATCGAGTGATGCGCCTTTTTCTGATATGAGTCAAACTTCATAGTCAGCCCACGTAGCTTTGCTAAAGAGGTAATACCGAACTTTTGCTTGAGAGCTTCCCACATCTCAAATGCAGTCGGGCAATGCTCAAACTCACTAATCAAGTCGTTGTGCATGCTGCTCAACATAGTAAAGCGCACACACCGATCTTTGTTACGCCAAGTCTGAAAGACTTCAAGATCACGACGATGTTGAGCTGTATTGCCCTGCTCTGGCTCAACCATCACTTGTTCAAGTGTGGTCAACACTTCTTACTCATTGAGGAGGTATTGGATCTTACGGCGCCATATATCATAATTGTCGCCATCCAATTTCTCTCCCTTAGTTAAGTCTGCCACCACTGTCTTAGCAGCCATTTCTACATACAAAGGAATGAAGATACACTTCTTTCCTCTAGGGCCCAACTTCCCAAACTTATGAGAAGCGTTGTGTATGTAAGCTGCCAAACCCCAAGGCCGCAAATTGCCCAAATCAGGCTTTTTGCCAGTCCACATCTCATATGGGGTGGAAGGAACTGATTTGAAGGGTACACGGTTAAGGACGTAGGCAGTAGTCAATAAAGCATCTCCCCAATAAGAAATTGGAAGATTAGCTTGCGCCATCATTGATCTAACCATGTCAAGCAATGTGCAAAAAAAAAATCAATCTCCCACTACTTATGGCATATACAAAGCATGATAAATTCCATACAATAGTATCTTAATGTAAATTTACAAATAACGCATGCTATATTCATTTAATAATGGAATTCAAATAAATAAATAAAGTAATCATGCTTCTTTAAATATTCATTTAATAATGGAATTCAAATAAATAAATAAAGTAATCATGCTTCTTTAATTGCAACATATTACAAACCCTAAAAAAATATGTTGTATTCAATATTCAGATTATGCCATAATAAAATGTATAGCATTCTGGAATTTTTTTGAAATTTTTTAGAATTCTAAATAACTAATAAACACACATAAAATTAGAAATAAAAAATTTCAGAATCTGATAAACTGAAAAATTATACCAGTAAATAGTAAAACATTTCAGAAGTCTACAATAAAAATTTCAACCCTAGAAAATTATTTATGCAATACCAGAAGCATTTTAAAGCATAAATAATGAATTATTATCACAGAAAAAATACTTTTTATTTTCATAAAGTTTTCAAAATTTTACAGAATATGGAAGATTTAATTCTGAGTCTAACAGTATCAACCACGCATAAAACAAATCTATATCGAATTAATTATGACCATTTAACACGATTTAGAATTTAAAACAAAACAAACAGAGCCTTAGTACCAGCAGCCAAGCCAGCCAAGTCGCAGAGGAAAAACGGTGCGGCTCATCACGCGACTCAGCGCACAGCTCAGCGAGGGGCTCAGAACGCGACTCAGCGAACGGCTCAGCACACGGCGCGCGAGTGCGCAGCGCGGACGGCGCGCACGTGGACATACAACAGGGAAGAACTATTGTATATGGAAACTTGGGTGTCTAGATGAAAAGACTATTTCTGTTTTCTTGTTCGGCGATGCTTACCAGAAGTATTCGATAGAGGTGGCTGGAACTGTCTTTGCCCTGCTCAATTGTGCCGTTCGCAAGGACAATTTGGTATCAACTTTTCATATACTGATGAGATTAGCTTTATGAAGATTTTTCGGATCATTAACCTTGTCCATTTTTTTTTTTGCAGGGGCCGGGGTTTTCCTTGAGTGTTTATTCTGCTGGTCAAATTTTAAAGATTGGCACTTCTTTAGATTATGGAGTTTGCAAGGGGAAAAGGAAGGATGGGATGGCTTGTACACTAGTCATTAATAAGTATGTTTAAACTACTTCCACTTGTTATGTTGAGTTGTAAATCTAAGGTAAAACGTAGCGGATGAAATGTTTTCATAATCATACCTTTTTAGCAGAGTCTGAATTGTAGGATCTCGTGAGTAAATCACGTGCTTCCAGGAAGTGAACAACCAACCCAGCAGTGGAGTGATATTACAAAATGAATATCACCCACACAAATCACAATGCAAAATGGCTTGATCGTTGTTTTTGGGAGAGAGTCACTATATGGGGAAAAAAATATATACGTTGTTTTTTTGATTAACCATATCCCATATCATATCAGATATATAAGATATCTATATCATCTATCCATATCAGTTGATATGATAGATATAGATATCCTGAGTGATTATCCAAATAGGTTTTGAATTCAAATTCAAACTTATTTAGATAAAATTCAAAAGGTTCAAAGGGTCATGCCACATGGGCGCCCAATTTCTAACAAATACAAACCACCAACATACGAGGTGCTAAGCTAAACCTAGCTCGGCTTTCTTTATTGAAGCCAACTCAGTCCGCCAAGATCTGTACCTTTATAGCCAAGTCCAAGCCCCTTCAACACCTCACTGGCCGACGTAGAGCCGTTACCTCAGCCCACTATTCAGCGCAACTCTCCAAGACCATTTCCTTTGCTCGGCCTAATTTTTTTACACAAATTGCCCTCTCACTATCCATATACAAAAATTACTTCTTAAACTTTCATTTCTATATGTACTCTGTTTCTTTTTCCAGGTCTCATGGCTTTATATAATTTTTAATAAGGCTTGTTGTTTATTTATCTTTTGCCATTTCTTTTTGCTTGCTTTTATTTTCTTTGATATATATATATATATATAGAGAGAGAGAGAGAGAGAGAGAGAGGGGTTATTCACTACTACAAAAACAGATAAAGAACACACTTTTTTTGTGTGATCTATGTTATTTAATCACATTTTTTAAGTTTTATCAAAGTGTGATATTTTGGAGAGTGGTTAAAAAAAGTTATTTTTATTCACACGTTTTAAGTGTGACTAATAACATTTAGATCACATCTTTTAAGTGTGACTAAAAATATTTAGATCACATCTTTTAAGTGCGATTAATAACATTTAAATCACATCTGTTAAGTGTGATTAATTACTAAAAGGATTCGACATATTTGAAGAATAATCAATATTATTTTTGTACGCGCATTTCAAGAATGTAGTACACACTATATACTATACTTTGAATCATAACCACATATTCAATGGAATAACGTCATATATTTCATAAAAGAAAGTTATATATGTTCAAAAGTATATGCAAAGAAATTAAATAAAAAGTTTTAAACTATGCTTACATATATTAAAAATGAAAAAACTTAAAAAACTAAATCCTTGAATTCTTTGACCATATTTTGCATCTCTCCAAGAAATTTCTAACCTGAAAAATAAAAACACAAATTAATTCAGAAACCACTAGAAACATATGAATAAACTAACTATTTGTAAAGATGATTCTAGTCTTACAAAAGATGAAGTCCGACTAATCACACTCCTTCAAATGTCTTAACATTAAATACCTCTACCATGACATGAAGCATGTAAAAACAAAATGTCACTTTACCCATAGAAATTGCAAGTTCAACGGAAATTTTACTATAACCAACAACTTAATTTAAGAGGCTCTATCCATCTCAAATATTTAATGTTCTACAAAAGAAATGCAATTGAATGTTGATTGTGCAAATACTTTGAGTGCATTTCAGATATCTGCGACCATTCGTCATCGTCTTCTCCATTTGAGCTCCTAGAAACTTCTGAACCCTTGGGAGGTTGGCCAAAGTTATCTTAGAAAGAAAAAAAACTACTCAACTCAACTCCTTAGGCATACACCTAATGTTAATTGCACATTTGTAAAACATGTTCTAGATACCATCATATACAAAGTCACATAGAAATATAATCCCAAAGTATAAATTGGGGGGTTCAAAATTCCCATATTGACAATCTTATATATCATAGAGAGTGCTGCCTAACAGTTTCTTCATGATAAATAGAGTCTTCAAGAAAATTTTAAAGAATATACTTTCATAACTTTTTTGCTCAAAGCAGAAGGAGAGGACACAAACATCATTATATTACTTGATACAAAGAATTTCATCATTATATTACTTGATACAAAGAATTTCAAAGAAAGTAATGCCTAACACTCAAGTTTCAGAATGACCTACAAAAAATTACATGCCATACCATCTGTGGCTTGAGCAATGGATGGATTCTTCTCAAGTAATGGCTGTCAAAATAAGCATAACATGAAAACAAAGGAATTATACGTGCACCAGTTAAAGAATAACCAAAATGAATTTCCATTCCAGACTAAGAGTTGTTGTCCTAAGAAGAAACAAGTAAAGTTTCCCCTGGAAAAAGTAGAGTTCCAGATCAATAAAAGCTCCTAGACTTGAGGCTTCCATAAACTTAGTAACAGTATCGAAGATATATTTACCACCTTTTCTTTGCTGGGTGGGAAGCCATACAACTTCTCAAACATGATCTCAGACCATGAGGGAAAATATGGGAATTCCATATCCTTTTTTTGGTTATGCATAAGCAGGATAGAAAACATTATCAAGAGAAACTGCAATTATAGCACTCACCTCAACTAGATGAAGATTAGAAGCACGGCTGAGAAGAACAAAAGCAAATTCCCCAATCTGTGCCAAAGACATTCCAACCTACACAAGTCAAAGAAACCAAGGTACATCAGAAATGAAAATACATGGGAATTAAATTCCAAAAAAAATAAAATAAAGACAATTATAGCACTCACCTCAACTAGATGAAGGTTAGAAGCACGACTGAGAAGAACAAAAGCAAATTCCCCAATCTGTGCCAAAGACATTCCAACCTACACAAGTCAAAGAAACCAAGGTACGTCAGAAGTGAAAATATATGGGAATTAAATTCCAAAAAAATAAAATAAAGAAACATAGTTGCTAAATAATATTTTACAAGAAGTGAAGTCTTGTAGTTGTAGCCGAACCCCTTGACAACTATGCTAATAACAATTGTTTTCACAATGATCACTAATAAAACTGATGCTAGTAAGGTATCCACGTGGTTCCGGAGGAAGTGAACACGTATCAGCATCCCAATGCTAGCAAGAAAAAGAGCAGCAAAGAAATTACGAGTGGGTTCAACCTGTGTAAACAACAAAAATTCCATTCAGGGGATACAGATGAACATATTCTTCCAATGCATATACATATTGACATAGATCTACATAAGAAATGAGAAATAACATTTAGAGAGAGAGAGAGAGAGAGATAGCACCAACTCAAGGAAAGTGCACTACAGTCATCAGTTGCTCTAATAATTTTAACAGAAAACTGAACAACCCAAACACATAAAACTGCCAATAGTTCAACCTAGAAAAGCAAAGTAACATCAGCTCTACTTGTTGTCCTCAAGAAATAGCTAATTCTCACCTCTTGAACTACCCGAAAAGCTTCCTAGTATGAAACACTAACACCAGGAATCTCCCAATCTCAATTAACAAATCATATCAATTCAACCAGACATGCTGCAAAGAGTGAAAGTATGTTCCATTTCGTAAAGAGAATGATGACCTATAATTATCAATTAAATCTATCACATTCTATCTTCTAACTGAGCATTCTATGCCAACCCCTACCGTACCACATCGTTGAGTAATATATGTATCTCATGCTCATTATTTGTATATGTGGTACAGTGATCACAGCTCAATCTATATTCAATTTCACATGAATTCCGAAAGTTCTGGGATAGACCTACCATTTCATTCATATATACTTTTACACTACTTGTATACAGGTATGTATGCTTTTACACTGTTTGTATACACATACGTAGATACCACATATATGGAAAATTGCTTTGTGGAATGGTAAATGCTTGGACTACAGATTATAATCTAAGGGCAGCCACTTCATGCAAACAATGCCAAAGCTTAGGTTTGATACATAGCTAGTCCATTCTTCCCACCACCCTTGAATGCAAACTAATATAGGCTATGAGCATTTTTTACGTACTATATGTAAATGTTTTGAAAAAAAAAAATAGTCAGATATTTATTTCAAACCAGAAAGTATAATATATCACTAAAAAAGTCACACATATGTACATAGTTGATGACAAATAAGCAAAGAAAGTGCCTTGTTCAAGTGTATGCTGAACATGATCAGTTGTTGATATCATCACTCCAGCAGCAAAGGAACCCAGCTCTAAGCTTAAATCAAGCTTATTAGGGGTGGGCAATGGTTTATCCAAACCGCTCGAACCGCTCAAACTGCTCAATCCGCCCAACCCGCATATAAATGGACGGTTTCACAAACATAATGCGGGCAGATGTGGTTTGAATATGACAAATTTGCGGGTTACGGGTGCAAAAACTACCCGCACTTTAATTATTATTATTATTATTATTATTATTTTTTATATACTAACTTTGTAACTTTAACAGGAACACCATTATGTTCTCTATGACACTACGATCCTTATTTTTAAGTATTTCTCAACTTTTTTAATGTCGTAGAATTATCAAGTCCTAAACTTGGTTTCTTATATGATTTTCAAAAAAAGGGACGCGAAAAAACAAAATAAATAAAAGTATACTTAGAGAGAGAGAGAGAAGACGTCGAGAGAGAAAGAGAGAGAAACATCGACTGAAGAACGAACGAAGACCAGAAGAAGAAGGAAGAAGACCGAAGCTGAGGAAGGAAGAAGAAGGTGTACCTTACGAGCGACGAGCGACGGCCGAGGAGCGACGACGAACAATGAGCGACGAGCGATGACGAGCGACGGACAAGCGACCAGGTTCTCTTTCTCCTCTGTTATCTTTGCCTTCTCTCTCTCTTTTTGTTCTCTGCTATCTTTGATCGATTTAGGGCAAATATAAGTTATTTTTGTTTTTTTACAGATTGACCCCAAAAATATTTTGTAAATTCTGAAATTGACCCTAAAAATGTTTTGTAAATTTTGAAATTGACCCTAAAAATGTTTTGTAAATTCTGAAATTGACCCCGTGCGTGTCCCGAAAGTATCCATAACGTGTCCTGGACGTGTCCGGCTTCAAAAAAAATAAAAAAAAATTGGACACTCTCTAGTGCGTGTCGGACACATGTCCACTGCGTGTCCGACGCGTGTCCGTGTCTGACACGTGTCTGACACTGGTATGAAGCCCTCGGAGAGGTGTCCGTGCTTCATAGCATTTTAGAAAATTGGAAGAAAATGACCCAAATAAATATTTATAAAATGGGAAAAAAAAACTCAAAAATTAAATTTTAAAGGAAACAATCCAAATCGCAAACCGCCCGCAACCGCCCGCACATCCGCAAACCCTATCCGCACAAACTGCAAACTGTACTGCGGGCGGTTGCGGTTTGACTTTTCCCCAAACCGCATACATGCGGGCGGGTCAAAACCGAACCGCAAACCGTACAAAACCGATCCGCGAACACCCCTAAAGCTTATTACTACACTAAAATTACACAAACAATTAAAACAGAGATGCTTGATATGCATTCAGAAGGAATTCATACATGCAAACTTTTTACATACAGATGTAAAAAAATAAAAATCATAAGAAAATTATTAAACCAAAAAAAGAGTTCCATCGTGATAGTATGCAAATAAGTTGGTATGATATGTAAGTATAACAATATGGATGTAAAGATCTTGAGAGATTAGGAGAAAAACAAACCCAAGCTACAAGTAGGTAGAATGCAACTACTACCAATTGATAGAGTTCATTAATCGAAGTAAATCAATTAGTGATCTTGCACGTGCACACACACTGTGAGAGAGAGAGAGAGAGAGAGATCTGTTGACTACAGAATATTCATACTTGTGATGATAGGCTTATCATAAGTTTAAGTAACCACGGTACACAAGTATGGGATAATTTTGACAAAACAGCCAGAAACAAAATCAACACCACCAACCTGATCAATAGAAGAATTAGTTTGTTGCAACACAAGATATTTTGATAATCATATGATATCAACAACTATCCTACAACTCAAGCCAATAGAAGTAAATTGAAACACAATTTTCTTTCAGCAAATTATTCATTGTATCAACTAATATCATATTCATAAGGAATAAGTTGTCTAATAGCAAATAGTATGCAACAATACCCTGAAACATGGTAAAAAAATGATGTGTTTATTTTTAAAATTATAAAGAGAGAGGCCATAACCCAATGTTTGTCTTGTCAATTATGGGTTCTAGGAGAATGGGTGTGTACAGACCGAGCTTCCAGCTTCATTTGCATGAAGCAGCTGTCTACAAACTCAAAACCCATGTTTTCTCAACCTAGAGTTTTACGCTGTGTTTGGTTGGGAGATTTGAGGAGGGATTTGGAAAGAAAAAAAGAAAAAATTAGGTGAAATGTGAATAAAATATACTTACATTTCACCTACTTTCACATACCTTTTCCCTTTCTCTTTCCAAATCTCTCCCCAAATCCTCCAACCAAACACAGCATTATGGTCGCACCAAGCAATGTCCCTGCCTCTAAAAAGTAGGGAAATACAGATTTAAAAATCACAAATGGATACCTCATTTTGTATTCGGTTGCGTAGAGAATCAACAAGGGCATAACTGTCAAATCCCATCTCAACAACTCAACAACTTCTAGAAGAATCTCCTAGTCAATCTGCAATTGAGGTTACTTAAATAGCTTAGCAAAAATAAATTTAAAAAAAATAGATAAGAAAGAATAACTTGAATTGGCCAGTTAAAAAGACCATATTCACTAAGTAAAAAACATTAAAATCATAGCAGTTTCCTAATAAAATTTATTTTGTTGCCAATCAAATAAGAACTACACAACATAGCAATAATTTGGATCAAAATATGCCAAGTAGCACGCAAAAAAATTAACCAAAATGTATGCTAGACTGAGAAACACCATCTCACCCCACAATATAAAGAAAACCTGCATATTACATATGAGTAAATAAAAAAAATATTAAAAAACTATTCTTGTATTTATTCTAACCATTGTTGTACTCTAATAATACGTAAAAAATTATTACAATTTCAATTCATAATAATTTGGATACATGATCTAGAATGTCCAAAAAGTATTTACTTTTCAAAATTGACATGAAATATTGAATACATATGGGTACAATGCAGATAAGACTCCCTTTAAGAAGTGTCTGTGCTTCATAGATCCTAATCCGGAGTTGAAAAAAAAAAAAAAAAAATGGAATGTACCAAGTAGAATGAAAAAAAATTAAACCGATAAAAAAAGTACCATCAAGGCAAGTAGGTGAACTTTAGGGTTCTTATGCTGCAACCTTTTCTTCAGAGCTTTGACAACATCGTTTGCTTCCTTGATCAATTTAACACACCAACACAAATTTTGTCAAATCTACTTCCACAATGGATGAAACTAACTGAAATTCAGTAATAACATCACAATCCATAGTAGAATTTAACCCCTGCTCCTTTGTATTTGACATGATCAACCATTAAAAAAAAAAAAAAAACAATTCCTAGGATTCAACCACTTGAACAAGAAAAATATATTTCAAGATTTAAGACCCAATTGTTTCATAATCAAGATAGAAAACCCACCCCAAAATATTACAGAGTCCCTAATTACGATTTTTAAAAATTTTTCAAAGCATGTATACTCCCAAAATAGAGGGGCAAAAAAAGCTATTTCATTTCATGAAACAGCAACAACACACTAGAATCCAGATTTAAAATTTTCTTTTGTTTTCCTTGGTTTTCTCGACCACCAAACAAAGGAAATAAAGGAGAGGAACTCTGACTAAAAAAATTCAAAACCTTTCGGCCATGTTTGTTTGGATGGATATGAGCTTGGGATTAGACTAATAGTCCAATAAAATTATTAATCTAATGTTTGGTTAAACAATTGAAGTACGGACTAACAATTCATCTGGATATGGTATCCTACATATGATGGACTATTCAATCCCACAGAAGGGGGTGAGATATAAATTGAAAGACTAAACCAAAGTCTGGACTATTAGTCCTCCTTATAATCCTAACTCAATCCACCTTATAATCCTAACTCAATCCAAACATAAGATAGGATACATAATCCAAAGGATTCGTAGTCCTAGGACTATTAGTCATGGAAATGCTAATCCAACCTAATCCAGTCCGCCCAAACAAACATGGCCTTCATTTCTTCATCTCCAACAAATTCAAAACCAACCATCTAAAATCGAACTCCAAAGCATAAAAAGCATAACAAAAACCAGAAAACAAAAAGTCAACTAAAAAAGGTTAAGATTAAGACAGTTTTTTAGTGAAGTACCAATGGTTGGAATCGATGGGAACACAAATATTCATGTTCATAGTCTAATTGGGACCGATTAAAAGGTCGCTCGTCGCCTTTTCGACTCGAACAGTTACTGAAGAATAAGAAGACGATGAAGATGACGATGGCATCATTTTCTCGCTCTATCTTTCCCTCAAAACTCAAGTTGTTCTTGTAAGGACGAGAGAGAACAAACACCAGGAAAATACTAAAAAAGATTAATCTTCTTGTTAGCAAATAGATGGATAGCAGCAGAGAGCTACTGATTTTCCCGAGAAAATACTTTGAAAGGCATTTTCCGAGAAAAACCCCAATGAAAAGTGCGACTTGTTTATATTCCTTACACTACAAATCTCTTCATACCAATTAAACCCTAATCAAACCAACCCACATCAAGAACTAAAACTAAAAATTACCTTTCTTGGCTAGCAGCAGTGTCCGAAATCCGAGCTTTGATGACTTTGCCATCAACATTCAATCTTCTACTAACGAACGCAACATCGATTGTAGACTTGGATTGGAGACTGAACTCATTACAAAGTAGTAAAAAAAAAAAGTGTGCTCATAAAATTACTAGATCTGTCATTAAACTATGGGTTTGACAAACATTTTAGGAATGTTGACAACATTGATTTGGAATAAACAAGGGATTATCACGATTATAAAAATTAATGTGTTTGGGTATCATTAAAAAAAAAAAAAAATCTAGAGAAAAAAGGGAAAAAGAAAGAAAAGAAAGAAAAAAAAAAGGGGGGGCTTCTACATCTGAAACGTAGCCACATCTGGAGATATTAACTGTAGATTGAACAATAATTAAAATCATAACCAAAACTCCGATCCACATGAACATAAATTTCATGATCAAGGTTGCTGATCTATAAACAAAAATCCAAAAACATATACAAGGGCAATTGTATGCCAAACCAAAATTTGATTACCAACTCCAAATTAAATTAGAATTATGCCCAAATCAAGATTTACAAGGGTGATCCATATTCAAAACACTAATTAAAAAACCAAAGTACATATCAAGATAAATTCCATCAACAAATATTCTCACACATGCAAAACATCAAACATAAAGAATCCACACTATAAAAACACAGCAAACAGTGCAAAAAATTCAAAACCCAAATCAATGAAATTAAGACATGCAACTAATTAGTCTCTCATTCCAATTTTCATATATGTCTCTCAAGAAATAGACATACGTTTCACAAAATAGAGCACAAAATTGGGAATCTTCTTCTAACAAGAAAAAATAAGGCATTTGGCAAGAAAAAAAAATCAATTAGGGCACAAAACTTGCAATTTATAGGGCAAAGGGAGAGAAGCACCCATGCCTGCGAATTTGTCATCGGAAAAAATAAGAAAAAGCTGAAAAAGAAGAAGAAGAAGAAGAAGAGAGAGAATCTGCTCAAAGGTAGCAAAATTTCTGTGAAATCTACATGTGAAGATATATTTTTGAGTACTGACACGTGGTAAGATGACGCCGACGTGTCAGTCGAGGTGCCACGTGTCTAGGTCATGACGCCGAGGTAATCTCGGTTAAGCCGAGGATATATCCGAAGATATCAGAGTTCGAGAAAAGCGAATAAAGGACAAGAGTCCTAGAATGAGGGAAGACTTCAAGATGGATAAGGATAATGTTCTTAGGGAATCTATCTATATCTCTTGAGGAGTCCAAAATATATACTGAACAGGAGTCCATAGAGGTCAGGCTTCTATTGGGACTAGGATTAAGTTAGCTATAAAAGAGAGACACCCCCGTAGGTCTATGGTACGCAATTTATATTCTGTTTACTGAGTTAAGCACTATTGATTATCTTTGAGAGATATACTGAATTGATCGTCGGAGTGCCCCCGGGTGGACGAACCACCGCCAGAATATTCTCTTTCTGTTACAGGTTAGCCAGGTGTCACCTATTCTGCCAGTGTTCTCCAGCTGAATACTGAGTTGGGCAGTGTGATCAAAAAATCACTCACATAATTTGGCGCCGTCTGTGGGAAAGAAAGGAGAATAGATGGCCAGTAACGAACAGAAAGAAAAGGTTGGAGACGACACTCCCGCTGGGAGTGGGAGACCTATTGACCTTGATATCACAGGAGACGAATGCAATGCAAAAACTCGTGACTAGAATCACAGAGCGAAAGACGTCGGCCAGACTAGCGACGTACCAAAGAAACCTGATCAAAGCAGGTACTACAACGAGGACAATCTCCAGGTTTGGAAGGATATGTGCCTACGGAAGGACGAAGAGGTAAAAGAGATGGCAAACAAATTGGCAGACCTGCAGTCGGTCGTCAATTTCATGATGCAAAATAACGTCATGCAGCCACTATACCCACTGCAGGACACGCCGATTCCAGCGGCCAATGCCCAGAAGGGAGGACAGAAAACAATCCCCGTAGCCCCTCAGCACAATGGGAGCGAAAGATACTCTCACCGACCTTCTAGGGAAGTCGGACGAAGAGAATCAAGAAGAGAAGAATCACGGAGGATGCATCGCACAAAAGAGGCAGACCCCAAAGGACATTGGCATGTTCAGGGGCAAGCACTGTGTTTCGACACAACTCATGGAGAAGGGTCGAAAAGGGCTCACCCCGAGGCCGAGAGTAGTATACCGAAAAGACTGAAGTCGAAAGATAGCCGAGCTCCTGGGCGGAGCAAAGAAGACTTAAGAGATTACCTCAAGAGGAAGCAACAGAATGCCGAAGCCGAGGTAACCTCCCCAGATAAGCCGAGGACACCATTCTCGGTGGAATTAGACAGATTTGAGGCACCGAAGCGATTCAGTATGCCGAGGTTTCAAATATACGATGGTAAGTCAGACCCCAACTTCCACGTTGGACTGTATTTGAACTCAATGGCATTGTATAGTGGGAATGAGCCGTTGCTCTGCAAAGTGTTCCCTCATCCTTCAATGAGATTGCATCAAATTGGTTCCACAAACTACCGAAGGGAATTGTGAAGACTTGGGAAGGCCTGGCCGAGATGTTTGTGGCCAGGTTCGTGACAAACAAGTTGTAGCCATTAAGGGTGGACGCATTGATGGCTCTGAAGATCAACAAGGATGAAGGCCTTAGGGCCAATGCAAAACGATACTATGAGGTGTTCAATCGAATACCCGAATATAATCAAGAGGTGGCGGTTGTTTCTTTCAAGAACGGCCTGAAAGACAACTGTCCACTATGAAAGTCTTTGGCAAAGACATTGCCAAAAAGTATGGAACAGCTCATGGCAAGAATCGAAAAGTATGCCAGAGCCGAAGAAGACACGTCGGGGGCTAAGGAGATAAAACAAGAGAAAAGAAGCGGCTTGCCGAAGCGAGGCCGAGGTAACAATGGATAGAACAAACAAGAAGCAGAACTGAGGGCCACACAGACAGTAACAACTGTGTTCCGAATCCCGATTTACAAAGTCCTGGATCAAATTCGGAACTAACCCTATTTCAGAACACCAGAGAGGACTCCAGGAGTGTTCATGGGAAGAAACATTAGCAGGCTTTGTGCCTACCACAATGAAGATGGGCATACGACTCAGGGTTATAGATCCCTGAAAGCACATTTGGAAGACCTGGTGAGACAAGGACATCTGAGAGACCTTGTCGATGAGACCAGGACAAGGGAAGAACGGGCAAGATTGCCTCAGGCACCAGCAGCCCCACCTCCCCCAGCACAACAGCCACAGGCAGGAGGACCTCGGATAATCAACGTAATCCACTCAAAGGTCAACGAAAACGAAATCCTAAGAGAGACCCAGAAGGTAAAACACCTACAACATGTCTACCAAGTCGGGGACAAAAGACATCGGGCAGAAGAGTGCCAGGGACCAATGATAACCTTTACTGAAGCCGACCTAGAGATGGTCCAGCATCCGCACAATGATGCCTTGGTATTATCCCTCCAGGTTGGAGAGTGCCAAGTGAAACGCATCCTGATTGACCAAGGCAGCTCTTGTGACATCATGTACGTCCGATGTTACAAGGAGCTCGGCCTTCACCCTGATGATATGGAACAATCCAATGGCGCAATGGTTGGGTTCAATGGAACGCCGACATGGCCACTAGGAACAGTAAGCTTGGAGGTGCAGGCTGGCACCAGGAAGATCAAGACAGAATTCACCATCATTGACACACCCTCCCCTTACAACACCATCTTGGGAAGGCCATGGTTGCATACAATGGGGGCAGTTCCCTCAACATTGCATCAACTATTGCGATTCTCAACAGAGCATGGGATAGAGGAAGTCAGAGGCGATCAGCTGCAGGCAAAGAATTGCTCCATGGCAGCAATGAAATCTACCTGCAGCATACGAGAGCCAGAAAAGGCAGAAATTGAAAATGAGGACGTGGAAGTCCTAGAAGACGTCGGCAAGGAACCGGCCGAGAAGAGTGAAGAGACACTGAAGAAAATCCTCGTCCAGCATGGGGATGAAGATCGCTTCTTTTTTCTCGGCTCGGGCCTAGCCGAAGAAGAGGAAAAAGAATTGAAAGCTTTTTTGAGAGCAAATATTGAGGTGTTTGCTTGGACACCTTACAAAATGCTTGGCATTGACCCCGAGGTCACTTGCCACAAACTAAATGTTGACAGGTCGGCCAAACCTGTAATTCAACGAGCCAGAAGACCGACGTTGATACACGTCGAAGCAGTAAAGGAAGACGTAGACAGACTTCTGGAGGCCAGAGCCATTAGAGAAGTTCACTACCCGACATGGCTATCCAATACAGTGGTGGTGAAGAAGAAGAACGGAAAATTGAGGGTTCGTGTAGACTTCACCAGCCTCAACAAAGCCTGTTCCAAAGATAGCTTTCCTCTGCCCAAGATTGACCAGCTAGTGGATGCCATTTTAGGGCACGGAAGAATGAGCTTCTTAGATGTCTACAGGGGGTACCACCAGATAGCCATGTACCCCCAGACGAAGAGAAGACCGCGTTCATCACCCCAAAAGGCCTGTACTGTTACAGAGTAATGCCTTTTAGGTTGAAAAACGCAGGAGCAACTTACCAAAGGCTGGTAACCAAAATGTTCAAACACCTGATTGGCCGAACAGTAGAAGTCTACATCGACGACATGGTCGTTAAGACCAATGAGCCTGAGGGTCATCTCGCCGATCTAAAAGCAGTCTTTGAAATCCTTAAAACATATCGGCTCCGACTCAATGTATCGAAGTGTGCATTTGGAGTCGGATCTGGTAAATTTTTAGGATACCTGGTGACTAGAAGAGGCATCAAGGCCAGCCCAGATCAAATCAAGGCCATCCTAGAGTTGAAGAGCCCAACGTCGGCAAAACAGGTGCAGATGCTAACTGGAAAGGCCGCAGCCCTGAACAAATTCATCAGCAGAAGCTCAAATAAGTGCAGACCTTTCTTCAACTTGGTGAAGAAAGCCACAGACTTCCTGTGGACAGAAGAATGCGAAGCCGCTTTGACCGACCTGAAGAAGTACTTGACCACAGCTCTAGTTCTTTTAAATCCAAAACCTGGGGAGGAGCTATTCCTGTACTTAGCCGTTTCAGAACATGCGATAAGTGTAGTACTAATTTGAGAAGAAAAAAATGAGCAAAGGGCTGTTTACTATGTAAGCAAAACCCTAGCCGACATAGAAACGAGGTATCTACCCTTAGAGAAATTGGCACTAGCTTTAGTAATGGCTTCAAAGAAGTTGAACCATTACTTCCAGGCCTATAAAATTGTGGTGCTAACAAAGCACCCCTTGAAATCCTTACTGCGACAAGGAGACCTGACAGGAAGAATAGCCAGGTGGGCAGTCACCCTAGGCCAGTATGACTTGGAGTATAGGCCAAGGACAACAATTAAAGGCCAGGTTCTGGCCGACTTCGTGGCTGAGTTTACACCAGAATCCATCGAACATCGGGCTCCGTTGAGCCAGGATGAACGATGTCCAGACAAGCAAGGAGAAGCCCAGGCAAAGGCGAAATAACAAAAGAAAGAAGAAAAACTCAGACCCTGCAGCATTTACATCGGCGACTCCTTTCGACTGTTCGTTGATGGGAGTTCAAACCGACAGGGAGCAGGGGCAGGAGTAGTATTGATATCCCCAGATGGGCAGGTGCTGGAACAGTCAATTCATTTGGGGTTCAAGGCCTCAAACAATGAAGCAAAGTATGAAGCACTCATTGCAGGACTGAAGTTGGCAGCAGTAGTGCAAGCAGATGAGGTAATAGTTTTTTGTGATTCATAACTAATAGTTAACCAGACAACAAGCGAGTTTGCAGCCCGAGATGAACGAATGTCGGCCTACGCAAAGGAAGTCATCAGACTGTCAGCCTTGTTTCAGAACTGCTGACTACTTCAGGTAAGCCGAGATGATAACAGCCACGCCGATGCGTTGGCCAACCTAGCTAGTGCAGTACAACCTGGAAAAGCAAGGACAATAATGATTGACTACCTGTCGGGCCCGAGGGTTGAACCAGTAACC